ACCAGGGTCCCAGGCTGAGCATAAGCAGGCAGCAGCTATACAACCAACTCACAAACTTGTAGCCAACGCCCCACGTAGACCCGATTTTGGTATCAAATCACACCCTGCACGGCAGCCCCGGTGCCCATGCGACCATCCAAGTGGGAATCTGAAATCGAGGATCACTTTCCGTATGGATCATCGGAAAATCCTGGCGACGGACACAACACTTCACAGCAATATGTAGCCTGGGACGGCCCTTCCCTTACGAAGCACGATAATCGCAAGAAGAGCGCCTGCAGCAGCAGTAGCAGCAGCGGGAGAAAAACAACACTTGAAGGGAGGGAGGGAGTGAAGGAGTAGTCGCACGGTACCTCGGAGGGACAGAATCTTCGGCGCAGCTTCAAGCTCTGCAAGAGAGCATAAACAAGCCAGGGGGCAAGCAAATCATCGATGATTAACATTCGGCTCGGCGATATGCTTCTCATTATTCCGTCGCTTTTGTATGACGTTGCAAACCGTCACCGCGCATGCAACCGTTGCTCGACGGTGGGCCCTTTTGTTAATTTCGTTCGTTACGGAATCATAAATAAAGGCCCCAGCGATCGAGCCCAGCATGATTTCTCCATTAATCCTCTTTGTATACACAGAAAGGAAGCGGTCTGCAAGCGCGGACTCCAAGCAATGATATGTTGTACTGTGGATGTGCAAACGATGCCGTGTGTAGTGTGATGTATGGGGTGTCACCTACGTGGTGCAAGGTGCGCGGCTTAAGCTGAATGGCGAAGGATACGTGGTGCCACTAACCATTGCTCAACTTGCAATTGTCCACTCTACCGCTCGCACAAACATCCCACCCACCCACCCGCAACTTGGTTTACAAACCCCATGCGGCGGCAATTGCGGTGAGTGCTCGGCGCTGACTGGTGAATCTCTGCGGCCGCGACAGCCCGCGCATGCGCGCGCAGCGGCCAGCTTTTTTGGCACGACCGACGCAGCCGCGGTGGCGCTGACTGCTGGGCACATCCCAGCGGGCACTTCCGCGCGGGTCGGCGAGTTGGGCGGGCGCGGTACCATGGCAACATCGACAACGGTAGACAAGATGATGATAGTAGCGATGCTGGTGACGCTGCTGACAGCGACAACGGCACGGCCAGTGGCGGCGCGGATGCTGATCAGGCCGACGACGATGACGGCGCCCCCGCGTCAGGGATGCAACTTGTTTTCGGCAACGTTCGACATGCGCGCGCAGCCGACACGCGAAAGTGGTCCGCATGGCTTTCATTTCACACGGGTCGTGCTCCCCCAGCACGCGCGCAAGGGCGTGCGAATGATGTCGGCATGCGGCGCCAGAGGCCCGTTTAGCAGCAAAATGCTGAAACAACATCTGGTTTTCTTAACGGTCCGCAAGGGCACTCACGCAAGCTTGTTTTGAAAACTGATGTTGCGAAACCATGTGTTGTCTTTCGAGTGTGGTTTGGACATTCAGTTTTGAAAGCGTTACAAAACCGATGGTTGTTTAAGGATTCCTGCATGAGCGCGCGACGACGCGAGCGTGTGCACTTCGTTTCATTTGTTGCCAAGGATGTTTGCCACGGCGCGCGCGCAAGGGCGCCCGAACGATTTCGACATGCGCGCTCGAAGCCCGTTTGGTAGCATCCCAGTGCGATCCGACCTAGGAGTTGGAGCCTCTAGGAAAGCAACATTAGTAGGAGCGGTAAACACCGTCCCCCTCCTTCTCCTCATCGTCGTAGTTGTAGCAGTAGCGGTGGTAGTAGCAGTAGTAGTAGTAGTAGTAGTAGTAGTAGTAGTAGTAGTAGTAGTAGTAGTAGTAGCAGTAGTAGTAGTAGTAATAGTCGTCGTAGTCGCCGTAGTAATAGTAGCGCCAGAACCGCCGACGCCACGCCGTAAGTGAAGCAGCAGCAGAAGCAGGCAGCAAATCGCCGAGAGAACAGCAAAAGCAAGCAGTCGGGTTCATGTCTCCCGGCCGGTGCTATGTGCGAAACCGTCGTGAATCCTAAGGGCTCAAGCTGCCCCACTAAGGGCTCAAGATGGCCCACAGACGGACAACATGCATGGAACATGCGTGCGCACACACACACATACATATATATATATATATATATATATATATATATATATATATAAGTACATATATATACTAGAACCACGCGCGCGCTTCGCGCGCGCTTAGGTTCTAGCTAGGATCGTCACCGTCGTCATCATGAACATCACCATCGCCATCACTCCCCCTGCCAGGGCTAATGTACATCGTTTCTGGATGCTTCTGGCCGGAATACGAAAGGAGTTTCTGTAGTTAGAGTCTCTGGGGGAAGTCGCGGGGAAGCTTTTGTTGTATTTGGTGTTGCGTCGCCAGGAGGTCTGGGCTCCCTCCTCCTCGTGTTCCTACCTCCTCTCTGGACGTCCGATGTCGTGATGCTTTCTGTGCGCGGCCCCTGGACCTCTCGACGACTTCCTGGGGATGTGTTTTTTTTTTCATCCTGAGTCGTTTTCTGACGGTCCCAGGACCCTGCGAGGGGCCCCGGAGGCCGAAAATTGACCGAAACCGCCGTCGTGATTTTTCCAAGACGTCGGAGGTCCAGGTCGTGCTTCCCGCCTCCCCAGACCTCCGACGTCGTAATTCTTGCGACCTCGGGCCCAGGAATCGATTGGGAAAACGCACATGGGAAGGCAAGAAATGATGGACCCATCATTTCGTACCTGTGCCTTGATCAGTGGGACGGGCTTCGCACCGCCGCACATCACAAGACACGCTCGAGCGAATCCAGCCGTGGCGACGTCGGGGACTGCAGAAGGTCGCAAGGACACGGAATATGAAAGGAAGAAAGAGAAAGAGAGAGAGAGAAAGAGAGGGAGAGAGAGAGAGAGACAGACAGATAGAGAGCGAAGGAGAGAGAGAGAGAGACAGAGGGAGAAAAAAAAAAGAGAGATGGAGAGAGAGAGAGAAGAAGACAGAGAGAGATAGAGAGGCAGAGAGAGGAAATGGAGAGGAGGCGAGCTTGAGTCAACGAAAGTCGCAGGGAAGGGGGCAGGGGAAAGAAGGCCAGAGAGCGCTGAACGATACAAATACTGGAACCCTCTTGGGATTTTTTGGGGGGCCTCGTCCGGCCGCTCGCTGAGAGTTTGACGTAGCTTCTTGGGAGCCTCTGAACCTGTCGGGGGCCTCCTGGAAGCAGGTTCGAAGCATTTGGGGGGCCGGTTTGGGGCTTCTCGGGGCCTCCTTTGGGCCTCTTGGGGGTCTCCTGGGGCCTCTTGAAGGGCCTCCTGGGGGCCTCCTGGCGGCCTCTTGGGGCGGAAGGCTCGAGCTTGCGGTTCGTGGTCCCCCTCTGGGCCCCCTCTTGGGCCCGTCTTGGGGCCCTCTTGGGCCATCTTGGGCGCCTCTTGGGCCGTCTTGGGGCCCTCTTGGGCTGTCCTGGGGCCCTCTTGGAAGCTTCTTGGGCCGTCTTGGGGCGGTCTTGGGCGCCTCTTGGGCCGTCCTGTAACGTCGGAAAGCCCAAAAGGCAACTTTGTTGAAAATGTACGTTTTACGAAGGGAATGGGCAATTTGTTGCGTCTAGGGGCCCTCTTGGGACGCATGTTGGAGGCTTCTTGGGGCCTCTTGGGGGCGTCCTTGGACGTCTGGAGGCCATCTTCAGCATCTCGGAGCCCTCTTGGAGGCCTCTTGGAAGTTTCTTGGGCCGTCTTGGGCGCTTCTGGGGCCCTCTTGTCTGACCGGGGAGGCCTCTGGCAAGCCCCGACGAGCCTCCGGGCCCCCCGGAGCCCACATTTGCGGTCGAGGTCCCGGCCCCGGGCCCCCGGACCCGGTTCCCCGTTATGTATATATATATATGTATAGCAACAATAGTGGATGCTGTGCTGCGCCATGCTATGCTGTGCTATGCTTTGCTATGCTATGCTTTGCTATGCTCTGCTCTGCTCTGCTCTGCTATGCTATGCTATGATATGCTATGTTATGCTGCGCAATGCTATGCTGGGCTAGGCTGGGCTAGGCCAGGCTAGGCTATGCTATGCTGCGCTATGCTATGCTGCGCTATGCTATGCTATGCTATGCAATGCTTTTGCTTTGCCTTCGCTTTTGCCTTCACGTTTGCCTTTGCTTTTGCTTGGCACCCAGGGAGCGCAACTGGGGGAACGGCGCGTTTGCTTTTACCTTTGCTGTTGCTTTTGTTTGGCTCCCAGGGGACTGGGGGAACCGCCCGGGGCGGTTTGCACTGCCTGGCCCCTGTAAGCCAAGCGAGTAAGAACCCTTCTAGGCAGAGCCTAGGTAGGGAAAAATGATGGTTGCCTTAAGAATTCGCTAAGATGCGCGCATGTTTTTTGTTTTGAAAAACCGTCTTGCGAAACCCTGTGCTTTCTCGAAATGTTGCTTGGAAGCTCGACTTTGAAATCCTTCCGAAACCAAAGGTTTGGTTGAAGGACTTCGGCATGCGCGCGCGACGACGCGCGCGTGCGCACTTCGTCGCATTGTTTTACAAGGGGATCTTGGAAGTTTAGGATATGTGATAAACGAGTGTGCGCGAATAGTACCTTTTGCACAAAAGATGGCGGGGGGTCGATTGCAGCTTGGCTACGATGGTATGGGTTCATATTCAAGATGGACGATGGGGCAGAATCATATGTAAATTGCAGCACATGAATTTGTACCGATGAACCCGGGGGGTGGGAGGGTGGTGGACCCTAATCTTTTTTTAGGTCGGAGAATCTAGGTGGTGTGCGCTAGGTGGCGTAAGCTATATGGTTCTGTATGTAAATATGTGTGGTGTGTTGGCTACGTCGTGCAAAATATGTGGTGCAATCCGTAGTGTGCGGTCTATTCGGTGTAAGCTATACAGTGCAAGCTAGGCGGTGGAACCGATGCGAGGCAATATGTGTGATGTGAGCTATGTGGTGAGAGCTAAGGTATGTTAGCAAGGAGGTGCAAGCTATGTTGTGCAATCGATGTGGTTTGAGCTCTGTGTGGTGAGCTATGTGGTGCAATACATGTGGTGATGTAATGTCTGGACGGGGCCTCGAGCAACGGCCACGGGCGGCAACATGGCAACGCCTCGCCAAACCCGCCAAGCACACAAGGCGGCCATGTTTTCTCAACTTCATCACGAACTGAGCCTGGTACAGGTTAGGCAGCGTGAGCGCAACACGGAAAAAACATCCGCGATGGCTCTCGAATCGAAGGTGCGGATGAAACCTAATTACACGGCCGGTCAATTGGAGCACCGATGGCGCCTTCCGCAGCCAGCGAGGCAGCCGTGCATACCCGGGTCTTTGTGAGGCGATCGCAGAGGGCGGAACGTGTGGCTCGCGGCGCCGACGCCGCAACGGCGCCAGCCACCGGTAAAAGCTAGCTGGATGGAAAAGAAAGAGGGTGGAGGGACCAGGTCGGCATGCGGGCTGGAGTGGCGGATCCTCCGAGGGGCGGCCTCGAGAAACAGTGAGGGCTGCGCGGACGGCCCACCAGCGAGGCTGGCAACATGCGTTGGCACAATATACCGCACGAGCCAACGTCGTGCCTGTCGCCAAAAAAGCCCGCCCCCCGGGCGCGCCCCGGGCACCGATGGCGTCTGCACTCCAGCGTGGCTGGTGATTGATTTCTACCCCGTTATTCTACCGCTGCGACGGTCTGCAGCGCAAAGGGATGCCTCTGGACCGATCGAGCCAGGCACAGACGTACGGACGCCAAGGTCAATCCAATCGCAACGGTGATGCCTGTCAAGGGCCCGAGCAAGGGAGAGCCAACAGACTGCGACTGCAGGTACAACATAGACCGTGCCTGGCTGACACTCTTGACCATCATGTGCACCTCATAAACCAGCCGACTGAGAGAGGACGGGACGCTCGACATGTTCACTCTGTGGACATCGCCGCCAGATACGATAAGTCCTGAACATCCTGGACACGTCTTCCCAAAAGACTCTGGTCCGTAGCTGGGCAAATAGATCACAGTGGCATGGGAGCACACATACAACTCAAGAATCAACGCATTATAAGATTGCTGGTCCTTGGGGAATCCCAGATCCACTTCCCTCATGTCGGAGAGGCGAAGGCACTCTGCAAACAGTCCACGTTTGTTGTCACAGACGGTCCTCATGATCTTCTTCACAAGAGTCTGCGGCATTCCACTCATCATGAAGAGATTGGTTGAGTTCTCTGGACCCAAGGCCGGGGCCACGGTGGTCTCGTTAATGTAGTGGTTCACCCACCGCACGAGGCTATTGTCCACGACCGTCGCTCCTGTCTCCAGGGAATCATCATGTTGACGAAGATGCACGCACGCATAACGCGGCCCCAGATCAGAAAGCAAGGGACCAGCAGCTGCATGAATCGGAGCGTTGAAATCCGAAAAAAGTTGCGTGGTAGGTACCTCCGGCCCACGCATTCCAAAAGCACTGCCAATCAGGAGGTTGCCGACGGGGCTCGTCTGAAACAAGACCTCCGTCCAATCGTCAGAGCTACCAGAACCACTCGTATCATCTGATACAGACTCCATTAACGAACGATTCAAGGCGACGCGTTCAAACTTCCTCCAATCGAACGGCTGCGGCACACGCGCCACAGGCCAGGATGAATTAGCCAACCGAAAAATGTCATCAAACTGCAGTGACCTCTTACGATACAGATTATTAGATTCATTAAACAGTCTTTCCATATGTTTTGGATTTTCACAACGTGTACTGTTCGCTCCACACCCAAGTGAATCATCATGTTCCAGAACTGGTGGCAAAAACAGCCTGCAACCCAGGGACCTTGCAATAAACGCAGCACGACAGGCCCCGACGACTTGATTTCCAAAGCCGCTGTGGCTTGCGTACGTGAGATTACAAGTGGTGCCATTCCGAGCGCTCGCCTTTTGAATAACAAGGTCTTGAGTCATACGTGCGCGGGCCTGGAATACGACCACCGCTGCGCCAACGAACTTCGTGATAGTATCTCCGACGGACGGCATGATGGCGCGAGCTCGTTCGTGCTGCCTGGCCGCAAAGAGAACGATTGAGTAATCCGAGTACTGCAAAGACCCCAACCGATCGGGGCGAGCACAATGTTCGCACCCACGCGACTTGAGCCAAATGGCTACGGAAGCACACGCGGCGGCCATGAGGCGACAACGGGCAGCAACGTGGCGGAACCACGCCAGCCCCGCCCAGCGAACGAGGCGGCCACGAGGCGGCCACGAGGCGGCAACCTGTAAAACTTCGGTGGCCCCGCCCAACGCCCAGCCCACGAGGCGGCCACCAGGCGGCCACGGGCGGCCGCGTGGCGAAACCGGGCCGGACCCGCCCCGCTCAGGAGACGGCCACAGGGGCCGCGGGCGACTGCGTGGCGAAACCTCGCCAGACCCACCCGGCGCACGGGGCGGGGCCACGGGCGGCGACGCGGAAAATCCTCGCTGGACCCTACCAAAAGTTTCGTGGCATAAACCCTAATAAGAACCTCTACGTCTAAGGTTTGTTGTTGGGGGAAAAATGAAGAGAGGAACAACAACAAAAAAAATCCACGTGCCCCCCCCCCCCCGCCGCCCCCGCGGCCGCTCAGCCGAGCACAAGTGCGGTGGCGGATTCGCGAGGCAGCACAACTGCCAAGCGCAAAGGCACGCGTGCTGGTCGGGGAAGCACCCTGGATCTTGCCGCACTCGCAGCAGTGGAGCTCGGGGTGGTTGTACCTTCCGCCTGAGGCAGCCAAAGGGAGACCGCTGCAGGGTGCGGAAACAAGAGACCAGGCAGGGATAGGCGCTCAGGAGCGGCAGGGTAGACTGAAAATCACACCAGCCCTCTGAAAGTGAGTGGTCAAACGAGCTCGATCGGCGAACCTCATTCGACCGCTTCCCCCTGACCCCTCCCTATGAGTCTGGAGAGGGCTTTTCGCGAGGGGTTGGAGCGTCCACAATGGCTCCAAGATGGCCCCAGAGAGCCCAAGATTGCCTCCTAGATCGCTCAAGATTTCCCGACATGGTTCAAAATCGCATCCACCATGCCTCCGACAGGCCCCACGACCGCTCCAAGGCGGCTCCAAGTGCTCCGAGCCTTCCACGGAAGCCCCCAAGAGGCCAAATGTCCCCAATCAGAGCTTGCCTCTGTAGGGGTCCTAGCGGATTCATTCCCCAATCAGACCTTGCCTCTGTAGGGGTCCTAGCGGATTCATATCGTTAGGTTAGGTTTGTCGCCGATTTTCGCTGCACGCCCCGGTGCCCGGGTGCCCGGGGGGTGTGCCCGGGTGCCTGGGTGCCCAGGCGTGCCCGGGGGTGCCCGGGGGTGCCCAGGGGTGCCCTATAGCCCTATAGCCCTAAGCACTATAGCCCTATAGCCCTATAGCCCAATAGCCCAATAGCCCTATAGCCCTACAACTCTATAGCCCTATAGCTCTATAGCCCTATAGCTCAAAAGCCCTATAGCCTTATAGCCAACTAGCCCTATAGCCCTGATTGGGGCTTTTCTCCGGTACCATATTCACAACTCTTGTGTTGTTCAATGTGGTTGCCTTCTGGCCGCTTCGCGTGCGATGAGCTCTGAAGGCCACTAAATAACTCCAAGATGGTTCAAACCGATCCCAACAGGAGCCCAATATGGACTCAAGACGGCCCCAAGAGCGCCCAAGACAGCCCCGAGAACGCTCCAAGCGGACCCCGAGAGGCTCATGTCAGGGCCCCGACGGGGTGACCCAAATTGCCGCCGCGTTTTTTTGTTTGATCGATGACTTCCAAGATGGCCCTAAGAGGGCCTCCCCAGCCTCAGAGAGGCCCAGAGAGGGTCCCAAGAGGGCCATAAGAGGGCCCAAAGAGAGAACCATGGGGACCAGGAGGTCTGGGAAATGTACGACGAGGCATCCTAGACGCTCCCACGGTGAACGATCTGCGATAGCCTTGAAGGTTACTATCGAGGCAAGCACCCAAAAGCGTTGCGGAAGCCAACTGTACGCATCCGCCTTGGTCGTCATCGTCATTGTCATCGTCAACGTCATCGTCATCGACATCATCATCATCATTATCATCAGCAGCATCATAATCATAATCATCACCACCACCATCGTAGTCATCATCAGCATCAGCGTCAGCATCAGCATCAGCATCATCGTCATATCATCATCGTCGTCATCATTACTAACAACAACCACAGAAGCCGCAGCACCATTCATAATAATCATGAGCACCATCATCATCATCATCCTCATCAGGACAGCAGCAGCAACGTCGTCATGGCCATCGTCATCGCCATCATCAGCATCATCTGCATCGAATCAGCAGCATAATCAGCATCATCCTCATCAACATCAGCAGCATCATCGTCACCATCGGCATCATCATCATCAGCAGCATCATCATAACCATCATCGCCATCAGTCAGCATCGTTGTCGTCGTCGTAATCATCATCACCAGCGTCATCCTCAGCAGCATCATCATTGTCAGCATCAGCATTAGCATCATGATCACTATCGTCATGTTCATCAGCACCATAACCATCAGCATCATCATGGTCGTCATCAGTATCATTATCGGCATGCTCATCATCGTCGTCGTCAGCATCAGCAGCATCATCATCGTCGTCAGCATCATCAGCATCATCGTCAGCATCGTCGTCGGCGTCATCATCATCGTCGCCATAATCATCGTCGCCATCATCATCACCATCATCATGGCCAGCATCATCATCACCGTCGTCGTCGTCGTCAGCATCATCTCCACCATCATCATCATCATCATCATCATCATCATCATCATCAGCATCATCATCGAAATAATCGCCGTCGTCATCGGCGTCATCATCAGCATCATCAGTATCATCGTCGTCGTGGTAATCATCGTCATCATCATCGTCATCATCATCGTCGTAATCACAATCAGCATCATCATCACAATCATCATCAGCATCATCATCATCATCATCATCATCGTCATTATCATCATGAGCAAGATCATCATCGTCGTCGGCACCATCATCACCATCGTCGTCGTCATCATCGTAATTAACATCATCACCACCACCACCAGCATAATCATCATCATCAGCATCACCAACATCATCGTCATCATCATGGTCATCGTCATCGTCATCATCATCATCATCATCATCATCATCATCATCATCATCATCATCATCATCATCGTCATCATCATCGTCGTCGTCGTCATCGTTGTCGTCGTTGTCATCGTGCTCCTTTTCTCATGTTCCTCCCCCTCCGCCTCGTCACGCGCACCTTCTCTGGTCTGCCCCTCCCGTATGTCGGTGGCCCAGCGTAGCCCCGCCTCTCCCCTCCTCTCTCCCGTCCGACCCGAGAAGACAGCACCACCTGCTGGGGCTCCTTCCTCGGGCATCTTCCGCTGAGTCCCCCGGATCGGGCGCACGCTGACGCGGACTACGGGCCCCTGGCTCTGGAGAAGCGCCCTCCAAGAAACGAGGCCAGGGCCGCCCGAGAGGGCGACGGAGCGCGCCGACTCCGCTCAGAAACAGGACCCGTCGCTGATCCGCGCGCCTCGATCCGTGTCTGCGTCCCCATCGACAGCAGACCCGGGCGTGCCCCCTCCCCGCTCCCTCCCCCCTCACGCCCACCCTCCTTCGCTCCATCGCCCATCACTGCGGCCCCCTCCCCCCGTCGGCTCGCCCTGCGGTGCGCGCTCCGCGCGTCCGGCAGCGCGTCTGGCGGCCTTCTCACCACGGCACCGCGCCCGGCAAAGCCTGCCTGGCAGCGCGAAGCTGGGGCCTCCAGGGTGGGCCCAACCCCAACGGGATCCGAGATATCGTCCTACCTGCAGCCTGGCCCCACCCCCCTCCGCTCCGCCCCGCCCCCCCTGAGCTGCCGCGCTGCCCCTCCCACAAGCTTAGGTCGGGCATGTCCACCTACAGGGGGATCTTGGGCGAAAAATTGAACTAGAAATTGATGATATATTGATATAATATATACATACATACATATACATATATGTATATATACATACAGGCATATATACATATATACATATCTATATATATATACATATATTCCAAGAACACATACAGATAGTCCAGAAACTCGTCCCCCGTATGATTTTTTGACTATTTTTAACATCCCTCCTGTAGAGGGACAGGCCCAACTTCACCCCCACCCCTCCGCCCCCCCCCCCGGGCTGCCGCGCTGCCCCTCCCACGGGCCTCCCGGGGCGCCTCTGCTGCCCGACCGCCCGTCCCCGTGCTGGAGTGATTTCCGGGTCTTCCGTTGCGCCCCTGCCGCTTTCCGCTCCGCCCCCTCCGGGGCCACCCTCCTAGGGGGGCCACAGCCGAGCCCTACCCCATACCCCCCCGATGTCTGAGGGGGAGGGTGGGGTTCCCTTCGCTCGGGAGCTCCCGAACGAAGTGACCCCCCCCCCCCTGAGAAGTCGAAGGGGGTAGGCATAGGGTTCGCATGTGGCCCCCTACGCCTCTGGCACCCGGCCCTGCCGCCCGCCTCCCGAGGCCTCTGCACGCTCCCGAACCGCCCGCCCCTGTGCTGGACTTTTTGTTGCTGTGCCCCGCGCGGGGTGGGACCTGCGGTCGTCCGCGAACCTGGCGTGCTTTGCGCGAGGTGAAGCAGACGCAGGAGCGGGGGGCGGCCGAGAGGGGCGTGTCCACGAGGGGGGGCGCAAATCATGGCCGGCGGCATGCGCGCGGCGCAGGGGAGGGCCAGGGACGTCACGGAATGAGAGGAAGCGCCATAAGATCTCAGGGGACACCATGGCCCCCGCCATGATATCCATCCCCCCCTAGTCATCCCCCAAACACCGTCACGGGGGGGTGCTCTTCTCCTCCCTGGGTGGATGCACACCGCCGACATTGGTGTTGGTTTCAATATCAAATATCTAGGCCTGCGACCCTTGGCCCTTGTGTTGCTCCCATCGTACTTAAGGACCACATCCCAGAAATAGTTTCGAGCACCTGGACAAGTGTCGAACAAGTACCGAAACGGTGTCGAGACGGTGTCTCCCAGGGCCCGACACCTGAGCACCCTCGAGCTTGGGTACTTCCCTGGTGCTCGAAATTCGCTCTGGTGAACACGGCTAAAGTAGGTTGGAACATCATAGCTCGGGAGCGGCCGAGAAGGGGGTGTCCAAGAGGGGGGGGTGCAAATCATGACCGGCGGCATGTGCGCGGCCCAGCGGGGGGGCCTGGGACGTAATGAAATAAGATGAGGCGCCATGAAATCTGGGGAGATATCATGGCCCCCGCC